AGAGAGAAGAGAGAAGAGAGAAGAGAGAAGAGAGAAGAGGACCTATGGAAGGCAGTGGTGTCCTAGAGTGTGTGTTGACTTTGTCATGGTGGAACTATATGGGAAGTGTCCTAGTTAGGGGTACTACTGCTGTGATAAAAACACCATGACCATGATGGGGAGGAAAGGGTTTATTTGGTTTATACTTCTGAGTCATACTCCATCACTGAAGGAAGTAAGGACAGGAATTCAAACAGGGCATAAACTTGGTGGAAGGAGCTGAAGCAAAAGCCATGGAGAGGTGCTGCTTACTGGTTTGCTCTTCACAGCTTTCTCAGTCTGCTTTCTTATAGATTCCAGAACCACCAACCCAGGGATGGTACCATTCAAATGGACTAAGCCTTCCCACATTTATCTCTAATTAAGAAAATGCCATGCAGGCCTGGTTATAGCCAAATCTTATGGAAACATTTTCCCAACTAAGGCTCCCTCTTCTCTGATGATTCTAACTTGTGTCAAATTGACATAAAACTAGCCAACACAGGAAAGATTGTTGATAGAGGTATTTCACTAGGGGTGGGCTTTGAAGTTTCAAAAGCCCATTTCATTACCATTCTCCTGTTTTCCCTTTCCCTTTCTCTCTGTCTCTGCCTCATAATGTCCCATACATTATAGAGAGTTTGCTTCATTGCCACCATCATCCTACACCTTATACCACATATGATGAGTAATAGGGTCAAGAGATACCCAAGGCCATAAAATGTAAGCAAGCTAAGTAAATGTTAAGACAAACACTATTAAGGGCTCTGATCAACAAATAACTAAATCTCTTTATTGGGAAGCATAGAACTTCCCTTTAAGAAAATTGTTTCAATAGCTGACCTGAACAAGGGGGAGATCATGGACCCAAGACTTATGGCTAGGAGGCCAGCATGGGACTGATCCAGACCCCCTGAAGGTGGGTGTCAGTAAGGAGGCCTCAACAATCTATGGGGCTTCTGGTAGTAAATCAATATTTATTCCAGGGATATGAATAGACTTTGGGAGCCCATTCCACATGGAGGGATGATCTCTCAGCCTGGACACATGGGGGAGGGCCTAGGCCTTGCCCTGGATGATATGGCAGACTTTGGGGGTCCCCTGTAGGGGAAGCTGTAGCCACGCCTACTTAGGGGCTGGTTACAGGTGTGCCTGACCACGCCCTCCCAAGCTTGCGTAGGGTTACTGCGTTTTCGCTTTCGGTTTCTCTTTTGGGCTTGCATACAGCCTGCTGCCACACCGGCTGGCTAGGTCGCTCTGTAAGTAAAGCTTTTCCCTATTAAATACCCTTATATTTCTACCTGACTCCGTATTGGTAATTTCCCACTATAGTCCCCCATGGAGGGCCTCACCCTCCCTGGAGTGCAGAGGGGGTAATAGGGTGGGGGATTGGTAGGGGGGGAAGGAGGGGAGAGGGATCTGGGATTGACATGTGAAGCAGGCTTGTTTCCAATTTAAATAAAAAATGGTATAAAATAAAATAAAAAGAAAATTGTTTCAAATGGAGTTTTTTCTAAATGTGTACTATTTCCACATAAAACCTTAAATCATGGAAGAAATATTAATTATTCAGAAACTACCTGAGATAAGAGGAAGGAAGGGAGACAGACAAACATGTGGTAGGGTACCACAATGACTGAATTCCACTATGGTCATAAGTTTTTCTATGTAAGGAACATGAGCTCAACTAGAAATTATCTCCTCTTTTCCCACATCTGAGATTTATAGATTCTTAAAATTACAATCTTTTTGCTAATAGCCTTTTTTGAAGGGAATTATAATGCGTCCTTTATATCTGGTTTCAATTAGAAAAAGCTTAGTTCTAAGTAAACACACTTGTGCACACACGAACACTGATATATACACATACAGATACAGATATGCAAGTGTGTATTAGAGCATTTTCATATACTTCAGTCTTTTGACTATATTTCTTCAAGTAAAAAAACAAACAACAGAAATCTTGCTTTAGAAACTATCTTTTTTTCCCATTTACATTTAGCTTTGTTTCCTCCAGCCTTTTTAAGCTGAACAGAGAAGGTTCAACGTCCCAAAGCTGTGTTGATTAGGAAGACTGCACCCGAAGCTCAGACCTCAGTATATATGCCTTGATTTATGCAGTTTATTTCATTACAAAATAGATCTGCATCCTCTAATATTTTCTCCCAAAGCTGTGTTGATTAGGAAGACTGCACCTGAAGCTCAGACTCAGTATATATGCCTGAATTTATGCAGTTTATTTCATTACAAAATAGATCTGCATCCTCTAATATTTTTGAAAATGAACAAAAGTAAGTGGGATAATATATAAAAGAGCTGATAATAGACTTACCATTAACACATAATTATATTAAATTTAAGTGGTAAGACTCTCTAATGAAATGATATCAAATTAGATAGTAAATGAAGTTGTAACTATATATTGACTATAAAAAACACACTGTGAATATAAGAGCTCAAATAGGCTGTTTATCATTGTAACACTAGTCTAAAGAAGAGTTGTATTGGTTTTATTAGGTAGAGTGTAGCAAGAATTACCAAAGATAATATAAAGTCTTAGTCTACAAAGAAAATGATATCTGCTTACCAAGAGGGAACAATAATTCTAAACATGTATACACTTACTAACAGCTTCAAATCTAACCTGATAAAATTGAAATAGACCTATTGTGTTGGTTTGAATAAAATTGGCCCTATAGACTCATACAGTTGCATTATTTTCCCCCATATGGTAGAACTTTTAGGGAATGATTAGGAGATATGGCCTTGTTGGAGAAAGTGTTTTAAAAAGCCATGCCATCCCCAGTAATCTCAGTCTCTCTTCCCCCTCTCCGTTTCTCTCTCTGTCCTTCTCCCCTGCTCCCGTTCTACCTCATACTTGTAGGCCAGGTATAAGCTCTGAACTGCTGCTCCAGTGCCATGACTATTTGCCTGTTACCATGGTCCCTGCCATCAAAGTCATGGACTCTGACCCTCTAGAATCATGAGCACTCAAATTAAATTCTTTCTTCTATGAATTGCCTTGGTCATAGTGTTTTGTCATGGCAATAAGTAACTAAGAAACCAATCCAGGATTGTAAAGCAAACAGTTTCCACTTCATCCTAGTGTGTTGTTTGTGACAGGCCTGACCATGCTACTCTTTGGAGAAATGTGGAAGGTTTTGGGATTTTGGACTGGAAAAGTGGTTAAATGCTGTAAGCAGGGATCAATGAACTATTCTAGTAGGAACTTGGAAGGCAGATGCTGACAGTAATGTGGGCAGTCCATTAAGCTCTGCTTACAACATTCAACCACTTTTCTAGCCCAAAGTTACAAAGTCTCCCATATTCTTCCAAAGAATATCATGGTCCTGGTAATATATGAATGATAATGTATATTATGTGGCATTGTTTGTTGGTACTATACAATTTGCTTTTTCATTTTAATTTCTCAAAGATTCTCTTTTGTTTCAGAAGAAGCTTTGGAATTTTAAACAGTCATGAAACTGTGAAATGCTATGCGGACTTTGAGATTGAATTAAATGTGTTTTTTCATTATGATTATAAGCCCATGAGGCCAAAGAGTGGAATGTTTGAACAAGAATGGTCCCCATAGACTCATATATTTGAATTCTGGTTTCCAATTGGTGGAACTATTCAGGAAGGATTAGAAGGTAAGGACTTGTTCGAAGAGATGTGTCAGTAGGAGTGAGCTTGGAGGTTTCAAAAGCCTCCTTTATTCTCAGTTA